CAACCTTGTCTCTAGTAAAAATAAAATCAGTTGGGCATGGTGGCATGTGCCTGTAGTTCCAGCTACTTGGAAGGCTGAGGCAGGAGGATCCCTTGAGCCCAGAAGTTTGGGATGACAGTGAGCCATGACTGCCTCACTGCACTCCAGACTAGGCCACAGAGCAAGACGCTGTTGCCAAAAAAAACCAAAACAAGCATTTGCTAGTAAAGAACATTTAAAATTCGTATGTTTGTGTGAGGGGACACAATTCAACTGGCCCACTAAAATAATGGACTAGTAGTTAAAAATACACTGTTTAAAAGGATAATATGTTAATCATGATGTCTCATATGAAAATCAAAAGGCTGAAGTTGACAAGTAAAACATTTAACACTCAAACCCAACATCAGCAATGTTTAATTTCAGCAAAACATCATCTGTTAAAGTCGTTAGTTTGTATTTTATTAATGTTATAGTTTATCTGTATTTATTTTGTAATTTTGTTTTGGTTGTGTAAAAACATTGAATTTATAGCTAAACATTATAGAACTTTATATTTGTATGTATCCAAGTAGTATTATTTAACAACTCATTTGGATAAGCATTGAGACTTTAGGAGAATTTATTTCCCTTTAAAAGAGTTCTGTATATAACTTACATTTAAGAAACTCCCTCATGACAATTCCATGAGTTAGTTACTATTATCCACATTTTGCAGATGAAGAAACTAAGACTTAACAAAGGTAAGTAAAATTGGCTAAGGTCATGCATGTAGTAAGATACTAGTGAAGCTGAAATTTGAACCCAGGTTTGCCTGAATTCAAAGTCTGTGCTGCCTCACTTAGAAGGAAAGATGATCCTGGAGCCCCCAGAATAGGTGGTGTGAGAGCCTCTGAAGGTCAGAAGGTGACCTGGGTTTCCTGGCATTCAAAAGGCAGGAACAGGTGTAAAAGACAGGAAGAGGTCTCAGAAAGTAAGGTGGGACAAAGTGCTGGCTTGAGTGTCCTCCTGGCAGCCCACAGACCCCTCAAGATTCAGTCATTCCTTCTCCATGAAGCTGTGCGTTGGGTGCTAAGGATACAGAGACAATAAGACCGCACCTTCCTAGTCTTCAAGGAGTTAATGATCTTGTTAGTAACTTAGAGGATGTGTGCTCATGAGAGGACTCATTTGAAAGTCGGTAGATCCTCAATGTTTATCCATTGCCCGTGTTCACTGAAAGTTATAACAATTCAGCTTTTTCAGTCTAACTGGGTAACATCCACCTAAACACTGCCCCTCCCCTGCTATAAAACAGAACGTAGGAGAAGAAAAATGTAGAAGTGGCAAAGAGATCTACTCAGTCACCAATTCAAGTAATACGTGTGGCAGATCTATCATAGTAATGGAGTGATGGTGGGTATTGTGGGCACAGATAACTCAGTTCTTGCTCTCGAAGGGTTGTTTGTTAATAGTGACAGTAACAGTTGCTAACACTAAGATGATGCTACATATGCTAAACACTGTTCTAAGTGCTTTAGATCTATTAATTCGTCAAAGCCTCATAACTGATCTGTGAGGTAGGTATTATTATCTCCATTTCACTGAGCCACAGAAAAGTTAAACATTCATCCAGGATCACACACACTAGTAAGGGTAAGGTTAGGATCAGCATCCAAGTGGTCTGGCTCCAGAGCCTACCATGCTCTCACCTACTGCTCTATAGCAGTGGCTGAATGTCAGCCTTAAGACAGTGAGATTCACAGGTTAAACCAACACCAGATTCCACAGCCTCAACCTCTCAGCAGGGGGTTGGAAAGAACATGGACTTTAAAGTAGGGATGGGGTCAAATCCAGGCCTAAGAACAATATTGCTCAGCCTCAGTTTCCACATCTCTAAGTTGGTCATAAAAACAGGGCTATTTGGGGATTAAGTGAGATTGCATATGCATCGTTGGCTCTTAGTAAGTATTGGTTCACTCCCTATTGTCAAACTTTCTTCCCTCTTTCTGTATCAGCTCAGTGTCTTCCCAGCTACTTCTTGCCCCTCCTCTAGTAGGAGACAAATACAAGGAGGAAAGGGGAGAAATGAGGAGGAGGAGGAGGAGGAGGAGGAGGAGGAGTTGTTGTTGTTATAGCTCTATTTATTTTATTGGGATTTCCTTCTCTGAAACTTTAGACACATCCCTGGAGACTCCTGAAGGTCTGCTTTGTTCTGCATTTGCAGGAGAAGCTTTAGTAACTTAGAATATAGACCAGAAAGGTGAATAAGAGGTTGCTGAACCAAGAAAATACACAAAAGGCAAACGGTCAGTAATCTGTACTATTTCACCAGACAACTGAGAAAAAGAAAATTTATTGACACTTTTGTTCTTAATGCTCACATATAAAGATTTCACTTTACCTCATGTTTTCAGAAACACTCCAGACACATCAAATAAATGCTCTTGAATTTTAAAACATAAAAAGGATTGACTGGGCTATGTATGTGTCAGGTAGTAGGAACACAGGGATGGGAGTAATTCTGGAGAAAAAAAAAGTATTAAGTTTAAAACAGTTGTTACTCTCTGCCTTCTCCCTCCTCCTACTCTCCAGAAGGCAGGGTTCATAGCGAGACACTGGGTAGTCTTAGATGCCCCTCCTGGAAAGGCATATGAATCCTACCCCACTCCACTCTATTGAAAACTCGGTGATTTAAAGCCTCTTGCTTTAAAAAAGGACTTTTGGTTCAAAAGACTGCTATGATCATGTGTTAATATTTATGTAGAAAAAGTTCTAATCATTATATTAATAATCAATAAAAGTACAAGTAAAAACTATTGAAATGCCACTGTGTACATTTTTTAAAGTAGAAAAAAAACTTCTAATAACTTGTAATGGTAAAACTATAAAAAATGATTTAAGAAATTCTGTTGGTAGCATTATAACTTAGGACATCTCTCAGAGGGTTGTCAATAAAAAGTGAGTCTAAAGATGTTTCTACTCTCTGACCAATAATCCTACTTACAGGGCAAAATTCTAAGGAAGTTGTTCAACAGAATAAAAGGTATATAGATAATGACTCTCATCATCAAATTACTTATTAAGACCACACAAGGAAGCAATCTAAATATTCTGTGATCGGCTTCCACTGTAACCCATACACTTTTCTTTTATACTGCTTGTTACATTTTAATTATTTGACAACTATCCTACCACTAGAAAAAGCTCCATGAGGGTAGTGCTGTCTCTGTCTAGATCTCTAACACGCAATAAATATAGAGTGTAGGAATTAAGAACAAATACTGAAACATTTATTATTTATTTATTTATTTTTGAGACAGAGTCTTGGTCTGTTGCCCAGGCTAAAGTGCAATGGTGCAATCTTGGCTTACTGCAACCTCTACCTCCCGGGTTCAAGTGATTCTCCTGCCTCAGCCTCCTGAGTAGCTGGGATTACAGGTGCCCACCACTGTGCCCAGCTGATTTTTGTTTCACCACATTGGCCAGGCTGGTTTTGAACTCCTGACCTCAAATGATCTGCCTGCCTTGGCCTTCCAAAGTGTTGGGATTACAGGCACGAGCCACTGTGTCCAGCCTAATTTAATGTTAAGTAAAAATAACACAAAATATATGTATGCTACAAGTGAAACTGTATAATATATACACATGATATTGTTATTATACAAGATTAAAATACTTATATTAAGATGGAAGCCTCATTGGCTAACTTTTCCATTATTTTAAATATTTTAAAAAGTTATTTTAGTATCTCTGAAATAAAAAAGCAGGAAACTCTGCTGTCATATATCCCAAATTTGACCTTGTATTACAGATGAAACGGCCACCAAGAAAGCCTGAGGGCCCACTCCCCTGCTTAACCCCAGGCACTCAGGTATTCTTTCTTTGCTCAAGGGTAGAAAGACTCAAAACACTCATATATTATATGTAGCACAACCCTATTTTCTGTAACAATCTCAAACAAAGGCAGTATGTTTAGAGAGACAATGTCTTCTAAAGCAATCCCTCTTTTGAACAGTGAATTTGCTGGTTACTAACAGCAGGGGGTGCCAAAGGGATCGCTATTGTTCCCAGGAGATGGCCAGAAGGACTGCTGAGGCCTAGGTTAAAAAAAGCTTAGGTTTGAGAGAAAAGTCCAAATGCAGCAGGTTTTCTGTTAACAGCTGGGACATGTGGATAAAACTCAGGAGCTCTCTAGACTTGAATGGACAAAAACTACATTTTAATTTTCACTAACTTCTGATATTTTGCATTTCCTTGAATTATAAGTAGAATCACAGTAGACTCAGCAATGCCAGTGACTGTCATGAAGAGAAATCACAGCTGACACCACAGCACATTACAGCTGTTGCAGATTTCTCAAGAACCATTTATACTCATCACCGCTTTGAAACAAAAGGCTTCAGGAGTTACTGTTAGGTATGCAGCTGGATCTTGTTTAACCTACTAGTAAAGTCGCACATATTACTATATCATGAATTTGTTCAATAATCTGGTAACTTTAACAGAATACTTCCATATTCCAGTGGATTTTATTTTATGCATTTACACATGCTTTTCTCAGAAAGGCACAAAAAAAATTTAAGACATGCTCAGTCTAAAACTGACAGGCAACTGACAGCAAAGATCAAATTTGGTCTGAACAAAGTTGGAGAGAAAGTATTTTAAGTCGCAAGAGAGAAGTGGCCACAATGCGCATTTTATTGAGTGTGTATTCCTCACAGAGAAGGTGGCAAACCCAGAAGTTTGGTTCACAGGCTTCAAGTGCACCAGTGTTTCCAGCCAGAGGCCTGGCTCTAGACATGCTGTTCAGAGATCTGCTTTACACAATGTGCCATTGCAAAGCACTCTGTGTAGCCTAGGTGCAGGCATGAAATACAATGGGAATGCTGTCCTTAACATCTCTCTGGAAGTTATCATTATTACCAGTGGACTCTCCAGATGCCAAATATCATTTATTTGATGAACAAAACCAAAATCAGATTCAAAATGCAAGAAGGCTGGGATGAGATACTGAGAGAAATAACAGAGTCAGTACTCACATTCGAACAAAGAGTGACTCTTTGGATGTCAGACCAGGAGATGAGTACTTTTCAACCAAGGCCAAAGTACTGAAGCCAAACTTATGAATGGGCTCATTGGAATCCAGTGGGGGGAAATCCGTGTCCACCTCCCCATCATCCTCAGCAATATGCAGGCAGTAGGCACTGACATTGTCACTGAAAGGAAAACCAAAAAGGTGAGTGAATACCAGAGTAGGGAAGGGACAAGAAGACCAGAGGGTATGATGTAGAGCAAGCAAACTGAAGAGACGGATTTTCTTTACCCCAACCCTGGTGATACAGTAAGAAACCCCAAATCCTACTTCATTTGATAGGGGGAATACACATGGCAATGCAAAGGGGAGAAAAATGATGTGAAAGGAGGGTCTTCATACTACTCTATTCTTGCAACATTCACTGAACCCTAATGTAGCTATGACAAATAATCTAATCTCCTAGATCAAAGGTGAGATTTAGTATCAGCCCTAAAAGCAGCTTACAGCATAGTAGAGAGAAAAAGTAATAAGCACTACATTAGTTACAATACAAATGTAAAATATATATATATTTTACATTTTTTATGTTTTATATATATAACAGATATAAACAAAACTATAAAGGGGGAAAGATTATTTGGCCACAGGGAAGGCAGGGGTCAGAGGCTTCTGACTTATGGTTAGGATTAAGAAAATATCTGGCTAGATACAGTGGCTTATGCCTATAATCCCAGCACTTTGGGAGTTTGAGGCAGGCAGATCACTTGATCCCAGGAGTTCGAGACTAGCTGGGCAACATGGCGAAACTCCATCTCTGCTAAAAATACAAAAATTAGCTAGATGTGGTGGTGCACACCTGTAGTTCCAGCTACCCAGGAGGCTGAGGTGGGAGGATCACTTGAGCCCATGGGGTTGAGGCTGCAGTGAGCTATGATGGTGCTACTGCACTCCAGCCTGGGCAACAGAGCAAGATCCTGTCTCAGAAAAATAAAATTAAAATTAAAAAATATGTATCTGTGCTCTAGATCAGGAGAAATTCTCAACGTAACCAAGAAAATACATACAGTTCCTCCCTTCTCTAAAGAGTATCTAATTCAGTTGGTACAAGGATCTGACTTCAAACACCATATACTCTTAACAAAGTAAAAGCAATGACCTGATTAATCCTGACACAGATACCTGGCCCTCTGGACTACTCCTGCACATTTCCCACTCCCTAGAGCATCCAGACAGTACTCCTAGATTCCAGCCTTGCCCAGTTTAGAATCAACACATACCCTCTTTGGAGGAAGTAAAAAGTTGATCTGTTCAAATAGGTTGGGAACTATACCAACATACAGACAGTGTAAAAGTGCAATCAATGCAACTGCTCCAAAGTTGAATTGCGAAATTGCAAATCTGTGTGCTTCAGAAGTATGCTAGCTTCAGAAGCAGGAACCCAATAGTTTACAAGGCAGTAGAATTCTCAATTCTGCAGCTTAAATTTGGAGTTTTAATTACATGATTGATGCTTAAATTAATTAATTGCAAAGTGTATGCTAATTGTTTAATTGGTTGCTTGATCTATATAGATCATTTTTTGAATTAAATGAGTTGATTTACCAAGTTTATTGATTGGATGTGACAATGAATTATTTCACTGACTACCTGATTTGCAGTTTTCCCAATTAATTCGCAAATCTTTAGCTGCAACTCTGCTTATTGAGAGAGAGGAGGCCTACTTCAGGTGATCTATACTTGGTGACTCTGTCAGGCTAAGAGATATTTATTATAAAAAACAGGTAATAAGGACAGATTAAAATTAATGGAAGCTGTAAATTTGCTAAGTGGATTGATAACAAGAAAGTAATCTAGCTATGCTTGTCACTTTACATTTCAGGTATTTACAATGCTGTTAAGATATTTAAAATTCATCTCTGAATGGCATGGGAAACTTTCAACTGCAACAGGGTACTAACTTAAACACAAAACAATTATAGAAGCAAAGCACTTTGGATGAGACAAATGTCACGGTGTACTGGCTAAGTGCTCTGTGGTCAGAAAGAGTTCAAATTTCAGCTCCATAGCTCATGGGCTATGTGATTTCAGAGAATAAGCTTCACTGCAAGTTTCAGTTTCCACTTCTATAAAAAGGGTATAATTGCCCCTTAAGGGTTGTAAAGATTAGAGGAGATAATATATGTAGTGTCTGGCATGTAACAGAAGTAAAAAACAAATGGGAAGGTAACTAATAGTTACCTTACCCAAAGTCCTATGGAAACTAACTTATAGTTACACCAATCCTTAAAAATAAATTGTGAATGCGTATTAGAGCAACAATGCAACTGAGCAGCATGTTCTATGTACACACATCTGTAACTGGAGTTAACATATCCACTGTGCTCCAGCCTTGGGGGTCACTGAGCCCCCAGGGTTTTATGAACAGGGCAGACACAAAGGAACAAGCAACTGACAGCACAGATAATTTACTGCCATGTAAATCAACCTGAGGAATGTTTGATTCTCCAGCACCACAGAGGTTCAGGGGCAAATAAAAAGCCTATTAATCAAAGCCGAAAATCCAACAATGATATCAGAAGAATTCTGCTTTGATTGCTATGGGACACCCCCAAATCCTCTCAAAACAATTTCAACAAATATCACAGGCTAAGATCTGAGATGCAAAAGGTGGATCTCAGATCACTTCACTGCCGAGTGCTTTTATTTTCCCTACTTCTTAAACACAAAGTATGAAGTCATTCATTTCATTCAAAGCACATCTGTAAAGTACCCCCCTTTGCTGTGGCCTGTCCTGAGCACTGGGAACACAGTAAAAAAAAAAGAAGACTGATTCCTGCCATATTATACAAGACTAATGGAAGCCTCTTCTGGGTCATCAGTAAAGTCTGGCAACAAACAGTGCCCCAACTCCTCTGACCCCTTAATTGAAAATCTGAGGAGATAATGACTAAAATTCTATATCTTACACATGGACATATCAGTTCCTTTGTGCTTTGATAAAGGAATCATGGCCAGGCGCAGTGGCTCGAGCCTGTAATCCCAGAACTTTGGGAGGCCGAGGTGAGTGGATCATGAGGTCAGGAGATCGAGACCATTCTGGCGAACACAGTGAAACCCCATCTCTACTAAAAATACAAAAAATTAGCCAGGCATGGTGGCACACACCCGTAGTCTCACCTACTTGGGAGGCCGAGGCAGGAGAACTGCTTAAACCCAGGAGGCGGAGGTTGCTGTGAGCCAAGATCATGCCACTGCACTCCAGCTTGGGTGACAGAGCGAGACACTCTCTCTCAAAAAAAAAATTGGTAAAATAAGATACTGGTACATTCTGACTTCTGAAACAGCTTCAGGACTCCAAATTAATACTAGTACAATACCAGCAGTATCATTAGCTACATTTATTGAGTACTATGAGCCAGATACTCTGCAAAGTGGCTGAAACTTCACGTCAACTTTGTAGATGAATCATTTATTATCTCTATTTTACAAATTAGATACCTGAGCCTCAATGGGATTAGAAGGCTTGCTTAAGATTAAACAGCATGTAAGTGATGGGGCTGAGATTCAAATCCAGACAGCCAAGAGCTGTCCCCTCTTGACCCCCATCCATTCCTCTGCCAAAGCCATGGTGTGTCAAGACTTTCTGAGGCACCTAGGAATCCAAATCCCTATAGAAATGTGACATACTTTGATGAGGAGGAAATCATGACACATTACTTATAAAAAATTAGATTCAGTTAAACCTCTTTGCTTTTACAGATGGGCAATGGAGGCAGAGAAAATAACAACATGCTCATGATCACCCAATTAAACAGAGGCAAAGCTGGTTTCGAAAACTCTGGTCTCCCCACTTCCAATCCATTATTCTTTGATCAAATTAAAAACTGGTGGCCTTTAAAATGGGGCGAGAAAAAAAGGGGGCAGCTCTAGTCCCTGCCTCAGGAAATCCCCCCAAATACAGACATCTCAGAGTTTACAACATGAGAAAACAGGGGCACCTTCCCATGACATAGTCTGGTGGAAAGAAGAGGGATTTTGCAGTCACATCTGGTTTTAATGCTAACTCAAATTCTTAGACCAAATCTCTTTGGGCTCCATTTTCTTATCCAAAAACAGCTTTCCTTGATTTTTCTAGGAGAATCACTTGGATCTCCGAAATTCAAGCAATTCTCCATTGTGGTTTTTTTTTTTTTTTTTAAGAGACAAAGTCCATCTCCGTTGCCCAGGCTGGAGTGCAGTGGCACAATCTTGGCTCACTGCAACCTCTGCCTCCCGGGTTTAATAGATTCTTCTGCCTTAGCCTCCTGAGTGGTTGGGACTATAGACATGTACCATCATGCCCAGCTAATTTTTGTATTTTTAGTAGAGACAGGGCTTCACCATATTTGCCAGGCCGGTCTTGAACTCCTGACCTCGTAATCCGCCTGCTTCGGCCCCCCAAAGTGCTGGGTTTATAGGCATTAGCCACTGTGTCCAGTCTCCTTTGTGGTCGTACAGAACTTGGTCAATATTTCTGCATATCACTAATCATACTGCTGCTCTTTTTCCTATTTCCACCTCTGCTCTAAAGAGCAAGTATTCTTCTATTATCTCTACATGCTTACTGAAGAGTAAAATGACTGGCATTTAGAAGGTACTTAACAAATATTTATTGAATGAATGAAGATATGAATATGTAGATTGAATCACTCTATGAAAAAAGCAAAGGGTATTATTTATTTATTTATTTATTTGAGATGGAGTCTTGCTTTGTTGCCCAGGCTGGAGTGCAATGGCACGATCTCAGCTCACTGCAATCTCTGCCTCCTGGGTTGAAACGATTCTCCTGCCTCGGCCTCCCGAGTAGCTGGGATTATAGGCGCCGGCCACTACACCTGGCTAATTTTTGTATTTTTAGTAGAGACAGGGTTTCGCCATGTTGGCCAGGCTGGTCTTGAACTCCTGATCTCAAGTGATCCACCTGCCTCAGCCTCCAAAAGTGTGGGATTACAGGCATGAGCCACCACGCCCAACCAGCAAAGGGTATTATTAATGAGGTATGTGTTAACGAGAAGAGGGGAAATAAGCTTTTCTTTTCATGTTCTTGCTTTTCACAGTTATATCTGTTAGCCAAATAGGGCTTTCTAGGCAATACACATGTGTCAGAGATTGTAATTGAAGACTAGAGAAGAAGGCAGCTTA